ATTTTCAGTGGCACTCACATTGCCCAGGTCCTGGCCACCGGTCCGGGGGGCTCTGCATTTTAATTTAATTGTAAATGAAGCTGCTTAAACATTTTAAAAACCTTATTTACTTTACATACAACAATAGTTATATATTATAGACTTATAGAAAGAACCCTTCTAAAAACGTTAAAATGTATTACTGGCACGTGAAACCTTAAATTAGAGTGAATAAATGAAGACTTGGCACACCACTTCTGAAAGGTTGCCGACCCCGGTTTATGGTCTCACTGAAGTTTTCCAAAAGTGCCAATAAAATGTTTTCTAAGTGTAATGCGGCTTCTTTGCTTTCACTATATTATACTTAAAAGCATTAAAACTTTGAACACTGATATTTTAAAATTACATGTTGGTGTGTGGGAATATGCAGCCATATACTGTACAAGCCAAACCTCATGAGGGCAATAATAAATTGCTTCTCATACATTTGTTTGATTTGTATATGCTACATAATCTCCTGTGTATAGAGTAGGACATCAGACAAGGCTTCCACAGGATCTGCCTTTATTCATTAAGGCCCTGTCTACACTGGCAAGTTTCTGCGCAGTAAAGCAGATTTCTGTGCTGTAACGCCCAAGGTGTACACACTGCCAAGCCACTTAGTACGCAGAAACTGCGCAGTTGCAGCGCTCTTAACAAAAAACAACAACAACAACAAAAAAACACACCCCGAGAGACAGAGCTTTCTGCGCCAGGGCTACAGTGCTGTGGTGCCAGTGTAGACACTGTGGTCAATTACAGCACTGCAATTGGCCTCTGGGAGGTGTCCCATAATGCCTGTTCTCACCTCTCTGGTCATCGGTTTGAACTCTACTGCTCTGTCCTCAGGTGACCAATCGTCATCCCCACCCCGTAAATTCCTTTGGAATTTTGAAAGTCCCCTTCCTGTTTGCTCAGTAATGCATGCAGTGGTCTCAGCGCATCTTTTCAGGTGGCCATGCCTGCTCCACGCACCAGGCAATCCCCCTCTTGGAGCAGTCTGGACTAGCCAGCTTCCAGTGCAATCGCCACACACTTCTCCAACAACAGGGCAGCTCTCATTCTCATGTCCTTGCACCACAGGGCTGGAGCGAGCTCATCACACAGTCCC